CTGGCAACGCGCCAATTCACACGATGATTCACAGCACAGAAAGGGGTCGAGGCACTGTGGTCATGCCGCGGCAATGAGAGCGCACGCGCTAGCTATCGATTATTCGTCACGGCCGATTTCAGCAGTGCCACAAATGCTCACTATAATACGGGAGATGTCTGAATAAATAACAGGCACTTGCAGGACTTCCACTTCCTTGAATTTACGCGTACTGCGGGAACACACGTCATCAATTACCGATTGATATCTCCTCTAATCTCGTGCTGGTGTTCGGAAAAACACACGCAACAGCCCAAGGTGGCACTAAATCAAAGGAACGAGGGCGGGAGGCAGCGAAGAAATAACTATCACTGATTCATACCTACCATGAGGCGAAATGTCACCGTGCGCCAACACGCCCTCAATATTTCTACGCAAACGCACAGAAGACTTCCTCCGTGAAAAAGAGAGAGAAAAGGCAGGTGGCAAAATGTGTGATTAGTATTTTTCTCGTTGTTGGAAATCCGAATGTGTAATTTTCAACTTTGTAGGGCCCTTCGTTTTGAAAGTCGATTTGGTATGCGGGTAGACTTGGCTGCGGAGAAATGACTGTCACTGATTTATACCTTCCATGATGTAAGATGTCACCGTGTGCCAACATGCCCTCAATATTTCTACAGTAGCGCACAGAAGGCTTCCTCCGTGAAAGAGAGAGGGGGTGGGAAACAAAACATATGATTCCTATTTATCTCAGTGAGGGAATTCGGAATGTGTGTTTATCAACTTCGTATTCGCTTTCGTTTCGAAAGTCGAGTTATTGTTCGGGTAGACTTGTCTGCGGAGGTGTAACCGTACGTTCTTACTTTTACTATTCTCTGCTTTAATTTTAGCAAGTGGCCCGAGGCGCAGGAGCATCCACATACCCGGTGTAACTTCTGCGACCCACCCGGACTACTCTACAGGGATTTACACCTTACTGATTTTGTTTAGATTTTTCATTTATACGTACAATACAAAGTTTGCAGCCATTAAACTATGTCCCCTGCCCTTTGCCAAATACTGCCTCCAGAATTGTTTTAAGATGAGATGGGATGCAGGGAAAATTCGGCTGGGGGATTATCATGAGCATTACGCATGAGCGGTGGATTTCTACTCGATGGTCGGAAGGAGTGATATGGAAGGCGAAAAGGGGCATCCCGCTGCGTAAATCTTTTCCGGCTTTAGCTTCGGATTCCCCTTTCATTGCTTCGGAATTTCGACTGGGCAATACGGGGCTGGTGTTGCCAGGGGCTGGCAGAGAAATGTCATTACGAAGTATCATATTTTATAGGTCTTGATATATCCGGGAACTGGATCTTTATTTATGGAATGAAACTTGAAAAGACTGAAAATAATGGTAGAGTTCGCGGGCTTTAAACGGCGATCTGAAACTGGTTGTAATCCAATACCTCAAATATCTATAAATAAATTTGCCGAAAAGAATTTTCTTTTAATACAAAGATAATTATGTGGTTACGATTATATTTAGACTTTTAAGTCAAATTTATAATTGTTTCCCATGTTGCCGGAACTTGAGGCCTTTTTTAAAACATTGGCATTTCTATACATGCGCATGCGATAATGTGGGTTTGCAAGTGATTATCCGTCTTTCGCAAATTTTGGCACTTCCCATGAATTTCAGTCCGAAATGAATGTAGGCTTTTCAAAACCCAGTAAGTTACAGGAAAAAAATCAATTGTTACTGGAAAATGGTGTCATAGTCTTGAACTGTACTAATAGCTAATATGTTTGATTAGTCAAAATAAGGACAAATGTTCCATAGGAGGTTGAACTCACCTTTATCGAATGCTATAAGACCCATGCGAGATCCAATAAAAATGTGCCTCAGAGCTACGCGCACTCATTGCGGAAATGTGAGCTCTATGCTACCGCAAAAACGGTGGCATTTAACAGTTTTATTATTCTTGAGCGTAGCCATCCGCTTGCTTGTCACCTTTTAATGGCCGGCTTGCGGGTCGTAACCGGGTGAGCTTTCATCACAGGTACTGGCTTTTGTCATTATGCTTGCTAGGTCGCCTGGGCATCAACAAGGAATCTTCAAAGTCAGATGAATAATGATGTTGTCTAACCGTTAGCCCTCTTGTTAATTACTCCCTTTGACGCCAAAAGACAGGTGAATAAAGATTGCGTTTAACTTGTTAACTAAGCGCTGGGACTCGCATTTTCACTCAGACGCAATCGATCGAACAAGATGATTATTCATCTGTTTTTCGCCTGAGCGAAAATGCAAATCCCAGTGATTAGTTAACAAGTTAAACGCAATCGATCGGACGAGCGGTAATCCCGGCCGGCAGCTTTTGCGATCTAATCATGCGCGCGCCCTTCGCTGATCGATAATGCAGCGTGTGACGAGTCATCCCGACAGCGTGCTTAGGGGTCTGTTAGGTCTGCTTCTCCTCCGATAGGTTGGGTTTATGATCACTGTTCTGTGAGGGATGAAGGCAGCTATGTGCTCAGACTACTGCTGATTTTATCCAAGCGACGCTGTACGACAAAATTGTTCTGGACGCTGAACATTCTATGGAAGCGCGGTGGAAACCTTAACATGTCCGATTAGGAACCTGAAATAGTATCGTACGTGAACTGCAGGATCTATCACAATCAAAGAATTGCGATGGAGAAACAGACCTTACTATTTGGCGGTTTCATTCTTGAAGATTCCTACCAACTGAAGGCCTTCGGCATCGAGAACGGTTCCTCCATATTCCTCAGCTTTCCGTTGGATTTTACAAGGGATAATGCGATGGCTATAATGTTGCCGTCTGCAGTCGAGGTTAGACCCTTGGTCAATATAATGGCCACCGTGGACGACCTGAAAGAAAAGCTGTGACGCTTGTGTCGACTGATTGGGCAAAGTTACGCTTTTGTTTTTACAGCGCAGCCAAAACGTAGCGCCCCATGGAGTAGCGCATAGTGTCAAACTCACTGTCATGGGTCGCAAATCAACGGATGATGAAGATAACCTGAGTACATAACAACTATGTATTAAGCCTCTGGCCGGGTTCCGAACATTTGCCTTACTATTTGACGAAGACGGTTCACAAATGGAAAAGGAAATAAAAATCTTCTATTTGCAGTTAGACCAGCGCGGACAATAGCGGTACGCACATTTTCTGCAATCAAAAAGTCATTTGTTGTACTTAAAAATTTTAATTCTTTGCTAGGTTTCTCGAAGTCACATTAGGATTCTTGGAAAATATAAATGTAGCCACCTGAAGGCCTTTCTAGCAGATGTGATCAGAGGTAGAATTTGCTACAATAATAGGTTAACTTGCCTGAAGTTTCAAATTCTGACTTTAGCCCCATTCTATGTTTGTCTCTGAAGGCTTCAGGCCAGAATCCGAAATGTCAGGCACATAAATTGCTCGTGCAGTGAACGCATTCTATACTTATAAGCTGCTTCCTGGGACCAGTTTGCTCGTCTCCATCCCAAAGGACGTGCACATATTTTAAGCAAATCTACATGAGACCACTAGCCAACAGATAAAAGCTATTTTTTTATTGAAGTCCTGATGCTGTCAGAGGAGGCTGACACTCACAAGCGGCCATTTGTTCAACTAGATCAGTGAACCGGGATGAAACTGCAAACACTAGCAAAAGAATGGTACTACGCCGATCAGTGACAAACAGTCAGCCAGTAAACATAGATGAAACAACACCTGAGGTAGAACTGTAGTTCCCCAAGGAAACTGAAGAAAGTTTGTTGGCAATAAGAAGAACTGTATACTGTGCCATATTGTCCTAATTGCAGCAGACGTTGATACTGTTGTTACCGGCTCTGGCATTTGCTGTTAACAAATAATTTTCTTTGGTCTATAACTGTTATTGCTGAATGCAAATAACGACAGCTGGCGGCTGAAGAAAAACACAAGCGAACGTGAGTGTCCCAGGAAGAAATTGGGAAGAAGAAGATGACTCGATTGCTGGGACAATATGTTTATTCGCCTGACGTTTCGACATCCGTC